TAATTTATTCGAGCGCCATCCCCGACTGCGTTATAAGCCCCGGCTTATATCGACGTGTCAACGCTTCACCTCGACACTTGGACCGTTTTTGTCGCTCCGAGGGAAATGTCATTTAAAGTCGTGGCTCGTTTTAACACGAGAGAGAAAGAGAGAGAGAGAGGAGGGCGAGAGGAAAAGAGGAAAAAGGTCGGAGCGAATTCGACGATTTGACCGCCGCCGTGAAAACACTGCCACCCCTCACGGCGTATTAGCTGTCATCGCCTTCATCGGCCGCTTTCATCGCACGCCATGAAACAAATGATCAAAGCGTCAACGCGGATGCTGTGAATGGACCGCAGGATCCATCCCCGACCGTGTCCTGCCGCCTGACCTCCCGATAAAGCCGTTGGACGCGTCAGTCAGTTTCCGAAGAGTGACTGTAAATCACTGGACCGTATTCACTGTAAAGATTTAAGATGAAGATCTCTTGAAAAAAAATTGGTAGAAATCTTTTTAAAAACCTTTTATATAAAAATTAATTTTAAATCTTCGTTAGAAATGCGACTATATAATTTTAATTTTTCATTAATGTCTTCAGATCCCAGAATGTCCTATCGCTCCATAATGTCACTTTATTGAAATATGGGAAAAATAATGTTTTATAAAAATATACGAGATTGCGTTTTAATGACTGACAATGTAGAGGAGAATGATAAATGAAATTTTATTTTCATTCAATAAGCCAAACATGAGGGGTTAATCACTGACGGAACGAGTTCGCCATTATTGCTGCGGATTTTTTCTGCAAACCGGGATCGGATTGCATTCTCTACAAAAATACGTTTTTTCAGTATTGCTTTTTCCGTTTCATCGCTACAAATAAATTCGCCGGGATCCGCGGAATGGATTCTGCGGATGCATGTACCGTACCATATTTTGCGAGTATGTAAAGCGATACTGAAATAGCTGTAGAAATTGTGCCCCGCGGCTGCCACATATGTGTACGTATTTGCACGTATGCATATGCAAGCGCGTATTATGTATGAGCTTTTGTGGGAATGTTAAGGCGAATTTACGCGGCTCGGTCTTCTGATCATGATTCTCGATTATTGAAAGCGAGCGCGATAAATCAATTTTTAATTCATCGCGAGTTCCGATACATTTCTAGATATATTTTGCAACTTGTCAGGGACCCTCAAGAAAAGGGAAGATTTCTCGCATTTGAAAGTCGTAACACATTGAACGCATAAATTCAATTTTTCTACATTCGCATGTACCTGAATTGAAATTTTTTTTTCTGATTCGATTACATTTTGCTACGTAGGCAATTCTCTATTTGAAAACATTGTTTACGCCATCCATTTTTTTTTTGCATCGAGTGATCTCTGACCGCGACGATCATTCAACATAAATTGTGTATTTTTGTTTTCAGAGCATACAGTAGGGGTTAAAGAAAACAAGCGGAAGATGGCGGAAGAAGTGATAGGAGAGGGAGAGGTAGGAATATTTCGGAGCAGAGAGGCGGAGACAGATTTTAGTTGGGCAGCACGCGCGGGTGACGTGATATTAATTAACACGAACCCTTCGACTCTCTCTCTCCCTCTTCTGTGTTCGCACGTTTACCCTTGGAGGCGTGGAGCCGAGGGTTCAAGTGTCACACGAGGCTCACACAGACGTGCGCGCACACCTTGCGAAGAGCACCGACGAGCGGAAGCTGGAAAGGCTCCTCTGGCGGCAAAACGATCCGCGACGCGGGAACCTTGTTACAACCTTTACGCCACAATAAGGTAAGAATATCATGCTACAAACGTTTGTACGAAGTTAAACGAGACGACGACATCTCGGTTGCGCGATGTACCGCCATATGCGTCTCGAGGGTGGTAATTAAGTGAATCTGAAAGATATGTTTATCTCACTCAGATATATGTATATATATATATATATATATATATTGTCGCGAAGAAAATATTTTTCGAAACAATTTATTTATCATCTGCATAAAGTGTGATGAAAAGTTAAAGTCAAGATTTTAGAAATTATTTTTTCAGCATATAATAGTTTATTGTTCGAAATAAATGAGGACTTATAGAAAGCACATTTTATACACACACAGACATATATAAATATAAATATGATGTGTATATATATATGCGGGGCGCGTTTTCATCTAAAATGGACTATTTTGCGAGACTACGAACATAGTTTTGCTCAAAGAAAAAAAAATAATATTTTTCGTTATTTTTCGTTACGCGCTTGCTAACCGAGTCGCGGAGATTTCGAGATGTTCGCTTGTGCGCCGGGAGTGCGGAATGTATGTGCGGCGCAATGTCAATTTACAGCGTGAATTACGCCGGTGGACGCGCGCGTGGAAGCTTTTTTAAAAGCACGAAAAGCGAACGCGAAAACAGCGGCGAGAACGTGTCTAGGACGACGGGCGACAAACGCCGTTTCGGAGGCCAGGCACGAGTGCTCTGTAAATTGTTTTCTTACCCTTTTTCCGTCAAATCCGCGAGCGCGCGCACAGTAAAAAGGGAGCTTTGCCGCCGCTTTGTTCCTCTCTCTCTCTCTTTTTTTCAACTATTACATTTTTCCACGAACGATGTACGTGACCGCCGAATATAGCGCGTTTCTCTCCTATGGATATCTAACATATGTATCGAACGTGAGAATAAACAGGAATGGCTTTCGCATTCCGTTAACGTTGTTATATTACCAGCTTTCCAAATATAATAGAATATTCGAATTTTTTAAATATCACAAAATCAGCAATCTCTAAATCTACGTAAAAATGTGTTACTTTTCACACATCTTTTACTCGGTTTATCTATTAACTTTGGCCAGATTTTGCGGGCTAATTTCAAGTTATTTTTAATTATATTTTTGGTTGCAAAATTAAAATAATTTCTAAAAAAGTTAATTATCTTGCGCTCAATAATTATCTTTACTTATATAACGCAATAAGTAGTATTCTTCATATCGTTAAGATTTGTTTCAAATCGAGGAATCAATTCAACTTAATACAAAATTAATATAACGTTTATTTTGCCAGAAAATTAATGCAACGTTAAATATTTTGATATTAATTATTAATTTATTTCTTTATAATTACGAGTATTAAAAAACATCGATAAAATCGGCAATCGACGAAAAAATGAAAAAAATAAGATACAACAATAACGTTGAAAGCTATATGTACACGAATTATAAAGCTGTAACATAGCTCGAAAGAACGGAGAACGAGCTGTGTGCTACATAAAATATAAGACGAAAAGAGACGCAGGTTCCAGACGAGAGTGTGTACACGAGCGTTTATATGATATACATCGATATCGCGTCGAAGTTCTCATTTCATCCGAGATATCGGATTTTTCCGGGCCAACCCTTCTCTCCCTCTCGCTCTCTTCTTTATTATCCCTCTACTCTCCTCTTTCGCCGTTCCACCCCCACGCGCGACCCTTTATACCAAACAAAGCAATCTCGAACCCGTAGCGAGGACGACGGCCCCTACGTGCGACTGTTAGGTGACAATTTATATACCCAGAGCATCTATATAATAACTTACTCACTCGATACGTCTTTCTCGCACGCGAGACGACGTTTTTCACGTTTTCTTTGTACCTCTCTGCGGCTTGTTACCGCGAGAGAATCGCATTGTTGTGCGACTTTCGAAACACTACGCGAGTACACTCTCGAATATGACACTGAAAACTCGAGTCTTACTCCTTTTTCTTTCAGTTCTTTTATTTGCCGACAAGTTTGCTTCGCGCGCTTTATAAAAAGCAAATATAATTTATTGCGAGCAATATCCACATCATTTCGTCGTTATTAAATTTATTGATGAAATTAGATATTAAAATATTTTTCCAAATGAAAAACTTATATCTTCTTAAGGAAACTGTTAGATTACAGTGTCCCGAAGAATTTATACAGATTATTGGAAAATGCATTTTAACTTGAATATTTTTATTAATATTTATTTTGGAAAAATGTACCTATGATATGCCATTTATAAATCAACTGGTCTTATAATTAATCTCCATAATTGTTTATGAATTTCTTCCGCCACGAGGAACGATAAAGGCTCTTTATTAAGCGCATTAAATACAAGGGCTGTTGGAGCAATACGATCGAAATAATCGCGGCGCAACACGTAAGAGTGTCAACGCGATATATGTATTTAATACGCGCGTTATTGGAGCGAAGCAACTAATAAAGTCGATTTCACGCACGATTCGTTGCGTTCGACGCGCACGCGAATAATACAATATAACTCGAGCATTTGCATTCGGCCCGCGGCTCGCCGTGCCGGCAACGACAATGCTGCATACATATATATGGGGTGTATCAGAACTATCGCACTTCATCTCGACCGTGCGAATATTCAAAATCAAATTATACACGGAATTCTGATCGCGCCAATGTCGAAGAATTAATTGTTAGTCGCCGAGTTGCAAAATTCGGTAAAATAAAAAAATGTTACTCGGGAATCTAAATAAATTTTATTTTCAGAAATCTGTATCTGAACTTCTTTGTTTAAAAAAATAGACGATTGTTTGTAAAACGTACCAAGTGTACGGCAGTGTAAAAAAATAACTAACAAATGTTTGATTCTTCAATTAATTTCGACGGAATTTTATTTCACGACGAAAGTAATTTGATTCAAGCCTATTATTAAAAAATGCAGAAAGATGCTATTTTCTACAAGATAAAAATCGTTGAAGCGTTTAATAATTATAGAAAAAAATAATTAAGAACGATGGAAAAAATTTAATAATTATATTTAATAATGATAGAAAAATGTTTCTTAATTCGACAGAGTTTGAAGAGAAGCGCATTAGTTCTGGGACACCGTGTATGTCGATATGTGCATGTATTGTTAAGAGACATCGCATAAGTTCGTGGCGTCATGTGCTCATAACTGCCCCCTATCAGAATAATATTATTATCCCGGCAGCCCCACACGATTATTCTGTTATCCGACGCGTAGCGCTTACTTTTCGTGACTTTGTTTCGTTCACGTCAGCGAAAGCTGCTGAATCCCGTAAACGGAGTGATAAATGGAAATCCAGATTATTGTCTCTGTGTGGAACGGATCTCGCTTTTCTGTCGGATCGAGACAAGAATATCACTTTTGCTAAATAATCCGAAAATTATCCAATCTCAACACATACATCATTCTTTAGTAAATGAGTGTCATATGTTATTACAATGATTACATTTCAGTCTTATTCTTCAATGCCTAGAAAAGATTTCTATAATCGAACGAAGGGTACTAACTTTTTAAACTAAAAATTATACACTTGCTTCTTTTTTACTTAACTTTAAAACATTTTGTAAATGGTTCTTTGTTTTTTTTTTTTTTTTTTTTTTTAAATTAAATGTATTTTATTTTTAAAAAGCATGTTTTTTATACAGTTGTTGGATGTTCCTCTTTTATTATATGCATAGATTGCAACATCGCACAGTATATATAACTCAGTATAACTCTGACATGATCAGAGAGAATGACCAGTATTAGTTAATTAGCTCTCGAGGAAAGATCAGTCCCAATTAATGTTTCCGTTGTTCGTACAACTTACCGCTTAAATATCAATTTCAAACAGACGGTATCCTTCTTATTAGCATTAGCTTGGCAAGTACGACAAAGAAGTTTAGGTATGGCGCTAGGAAAGTTCAAGGATGCAAATAAGGGTAATATCGCGACGAAAGTACGGAGGACGAGGAAGGACGAGAGGATCGTAGTTCCCTGTCTCGTTTACACTTATCGTTGGGATTATTTCGTTTGCGTGGGAGCTTGTAAGAAATTATGCATGGAAATGTGCTTATTATTACAGGGTACATTAGAATTATTCGCGAAAAATAAATGCAGCAATAAGTGCTCGCACTTCTTGCGATCGTATTGTATTAATTATGAAAATTAAATTACGGAATATATGTACGCAAATTTTTAATTTCATATTTGGTAATAGTATAACAAAAATGGTTTCGTTTGTAGAATTATTAAAGATTGAATTCCGCTAAAAAAAAAAAAAAAAAAAAAAACGCAGACTCCTTTATCATTCAGGTCACTTCATTCGAAGTGAGACCATAATTATTTTACCCCGCGCGAAATAAATCATTTCTTGCTTCTCTCCTCCCTTTGCGAGGTAACAGGAGTACCGGCATTCAAACCGTTCCCAATTTATATTAGGTAATTGAGCCGGGTTACATTGATCGTTCTTTATATCGCTTTAATACAGTTGCGCGAGCACGGAAGTTATTTCTTTAAGTCTCTTACAGACTTATACCCGTAAAATGAATTTATCGCGCGATAAAAATTAATTTTGTCTATATAATTATCATCAAGTCTTCGCGGAGATATGGATATTGGTTTGGCATTAATTTTTTTTCTCGAAAAAACTCACGGAAAATGAAATATATTCGATCGAGATAGACAAAGCTATAAGACTTATAGGATGATGAACCGTCGATCGAACTATGATTATTCATCGAGCGGAGACTTTTAAAACGAAAACGCCATCTCCGCGGTCGCTCGTAGGTCCATCACGTCGGACGAATGAATAATTATCCCGCGTAAACGAAACGAATCATTCCTCGACGTTCATTCCTCCCTTTTTTTTTATCCCGCCGAAGGAGAGAAATACCTATATACCGGACCGCCCCCAATTTGTATGAGCTAAGCCGAGTCGGCGTCTCCCTCACCTCCGTCTGGTCGGTGCTCGTATAATAATTCCGCGATTCCCTCCCGATGTTCATTTCATTATTTTTTTCCCTTCTTCGTCGCGGTCGCCTTCGTCTCTCCTTCCTCTCCTTCGGCCGCCACTTCCACGAGAACGTTTCTCCGCAACCCACCACCACCGCCGCCGCCGCTGAGAGGGTGATAAGTCGTGACGTCGACGAGGTAGAGGTGATTCCGAAGCGTAGGCGTGGTCGCGGCATTCTACCCCCGACGGGGGTGGTGGGAAGGCTCGGGATTCCGTGGGGCTGGGGGTAGGATATGGCGCGTGGTGCACGCTTCGCGTTGGCTGCCTCTAACCCTCCACCACCACGTGGCCGGCGGCATAGTGCAGTGGTGGACATACGCCGTTATATACAGAGGGTGGAAAATCGTGTAAAAAAAGCCGAACCTCATCGGCTCCCTCTCTCTCTCTCTTTCGTTGGTAATAGACGGCGGCTCTACTTAAGTCGTCGAGGCACGTCGTCTTCCTTGTCTCTTTCTCTCTCTCTCTCTTCCTCTTGTACTTGTATCCCATCCCGCGGTCTTTATCCTCGCGCGTTTAAAAGGGACGTATGTATGTATGGCCGCGTGTACGCCGCTTTTATGTAGAATTCTTGGGGCGAGCATCGAGAGAAGAGACTTATCACGCCGCTGTCAGAAACGCGCGCCGTCCTCGTGTACGGACGTTCGTGTTTACGCGTGTATACGCGCGCACACGCACGGCGTGTATGTATGGTATATACGGATCCAAGCGTCGCGCTCGTTAATTTAATTAACCCTACGGACACTTCCGGGCCAACGTGCTCCGCCGCGCCTTCCACGATAATGCGCACGCGGATACGTCCGGCGTTTCGTCGTCACTTTCGTTGACTCGGCCTGCATCGGGGGTGGCGAAATTATGCGCGCGGAATGACGGCGTAACGTAGTATGTCTCGTCGTATGACACCGTGCGACATTATACGAACTTTCCCAGGCGCTTTTCGACGCCAAAGTCGACTCTAATTTTGCTGCGGAATAATAATAAACGAATTTTTAAATTCGTAGGGAGGAAAGATATATTATTTTATTTATTTTTTTTTTTCGTAAGCGATCGAAACTCAAAGATTCTTTTGTCAATTATATGTGGCGCCATACTGCGTTTAGGATTTTCGTGGACGGTTTTAGAAAGTATGAATTAAAATTTTACACAGAGAAAAAGACTATAACTGATAATGAGTTTGAGTCTCATTGTTAATTTAAATATTATATATAATAATATTAAAAAACATTTTATAGAAAATTAAAAATATTTTTTGTTTTACTAGACTAAAAGAAAAAAATTGTAAATATATAAAATATCTGTGGGCTTTTCTCGTGCATCTTTTACTACTGGATCATCATATGGTATACTTCTACCACTGAAAATATAATTATAAAAAGAATTATAATTCTAGCAAGAGATGTGAGAAAAAAATATTATTGCCATAATTGTAGTAGAAAGACTATAACTGATAACGAGTCTCATCATTAATATAAATATTATATATATATAAGAATATTAAAAAACATTTTATAGAAAATTAAAAATATATTTTGTTTCACTAGACTAAAAGAAGCAAAAATCGTAAATAATATAAAAAAATCTTTACGTTTTTCTCATCCATCTCATCTTTTACTACTGGATCGCCATACTTATCGGTATACTTACACTACTGAAACTATAATAATGAAAGGAATATTTATAATTCTAGCAAGAGAAAAAAAATTATTATCCCCATAATTGTAGTTCCTACAATTATTACTTCGATTTCTGTTACGCTAATTATAACAAACCACAAATGACTGTATAATATCGATATCGCGTAATTATCGCGCGATTATCACGCGACTGCTGACGATCGCCAAACCCATCTCTCTCTCTCGTTCCCGCCGCCGGTTATATTATTATTATCATCATTATTGTTATCGTTATTACTATACCAGTGGGTTTTCGGGGAGCGTATAGGCTAGCTGTAAGTTCTCTCTCTTTCGCCGAGGCGATATAATATAATTACCTACACCTACAAGAAAATTACATCGCGCCCCCTTCGCGCACGAGTCTATCCAACACGAATATACGATAACCTGCGAGCTCGCCGGTGGTAGTGCGAGATAATAAAGTTGATAAGAGTGTAGAGGGTCGCAACCCACCCCTACCCCACCGAAAGAGAGCAAACCGGGGTGGCGGCGTGTCGGGGTGGATAAAGGCGAGCCGGGCGATACGCGAGAAACTGGGTGCGAGCGAGAGAGCGCATCGACTAGGGGGTAAGTGGGCGTGGCCGAGGTCTGCCGTCGAGCCAGGCGATTGGACGGTCCGCGGGGCGGCATCGTCAAATAAAATCCAATCGTCGAGACCAAAGGAATGCGAATCTCCAAGCTTTTTTCCTACCCTCGGTACGGCGAGGAGGCGGCGAGCCACCCCCTTCTCCCCCACCGTTCCCCGTCGCGGTAGTTTTCGTTTCCCTCTACCCTCTCCTCTTCCCGGTCTCTTTCTCCTTTCCTTCGCCTGCCAAGGGGGTGCGCGCAGCGCCGTTTGATGGGAGTATGATTTTATTACGGCATTACCGAGTGAGCCAAATCCCGAATTGCTCGGCTTATAGTCCGTATTATCTCACCTAAGAGGAAAAGAAGGGGTGGCAGGGTGAGAGAGAGAGACCAAGAGGGGCGGATCGGGGAAAGACACGTCGCGCGGTGCACCAACCCTATACGTACCCTTCTTCGGAGTAAAGGCCACTGCCTGCACGTATATACGGGGTGGTGTTTCGAGAAGGCCGGCGACGCCGCGGAGGGTTGAGGGAGGGAGCCGCAGAGGGGGAGGCGGACCTATATTGCCTTTGTGGGCCTTCATTCGAGGGTTGCATGCTCTCACGTTGCCGCCGCCGCCGCCACTAACCCCCCTTTCCGTGCGTACGGAATAGGCAGGCACGCACGCACGCCAGTTGACATCCCGCTGCCGAAATCGCACGTCCTCGTCGTCGGGACACGCGCGACCATGTGATACGCGCGCGATCTCGCGCACGGAGGGATCATCATCTCCCGCGACGAGGATCTCGCGGGGAAGAAGAAGGGGGACTGAAGTTCTTCCGAGAACTCCAAGGCTGGATCAATTTCAATTTCGCAGCGGGGTGACGTTGAAGTAGCTAATTTGTATTCCCGACGGAAGAAATGCTGAAAAGTGTGACCAGTGATTTATCGAAAGGGTTTGTGAAAGATCCAGTTGTTCAGTTGTATCGCAATCTTTGACGATCCCCCATGTACTCGCAGAAATGTGATTTCTTTCTCGAATCTCAATAATCGAAATTCTGAATGGACACGTGTTATCAAATGAATGTTAAGTAAACGCTAAGTAATCGAAATAATAATATCTGGAGCGCGCGAAGAGGAAATCGATTAAACACGATATATAATAAATAAAACGAGGAACTTTCTCTGTCAATTAAGAATCGTCCCCGTGGAAACGACGATCGCGACAATCGGCGGAGGGCCAAGCAGCCGTGATATGTTCCCCTCGTCAGCGGCGATGCTGAAGAATCTGCAGCAAAGTGCCATGACCTCGCCCTTCTTGATGGAGAACCTGCTCCAGAGCAAGGCGTCGCCGGGAACAGACCTCACCAGTCTGACCTTGAACTGGGCGGCGAGTCTGGTGGCGCGACAGCGCGAGCGAGAATGCGAGGCGAATCTCAGACTCGTCCGCGACAGATCACCGAGCGATCTCGTTCAGGATCACTTGGATCAACGTTCCGGCGGGCGCGATCGCATGATGATCGATCAGCAGAGATCGAGCGGCGGGGGTAGATCCGCCGGCGAACGGCAGCACCACGACAGGATGCAGGACAGGATCCTCCTTCAACGCGAGAAGGAGGTTCTGGATCGTACCCCGAGACGCGAGAGCGTCTACGTCGACATGGAGAACGAGAGGATGGACCCGGTCGTCGATCGGCTGTGCGCGATGGAGAGGCTCTGCAACGAGAGGATCGACAATCGGTCCAACTCGGGGGTGGAATCGTGCAACTCGAACGTCGACGAGGATCCGATTCCGGGCGCCGAGCTCGACGGCGGTCTTCAAGCGGCCGACAGGCCGGATGAGATGCTACTCGGCGAGCGGGTCTCCGCGTGCGAGCTCGACAGACGATACGACCTTGGATGCAGAAACGTCATGCACACGTCCGACGAGATGACGATCGTATCGGGGGAGAGGGACACGACGGGAGTGACGGCAGTGGCGGCGGTCGAGCGTGCCGTCGACAGAATAGGCGAGAGGACCGCGAACGCCGTCGCCTGTTCCTGCGGCGAGGAGCAGTGCTCCGGCCCGGCGTGCAGGACCATCCAGGAGAAGGAGAAGCCGCAGCTCAAATTCAGCGTTAGCGCCATACTCGGTGGCAATCACGATAGGAGGCCGCATCCCGGTAATTTATTGATCAATTCATTTACACATCGCGTTACCAAGAAGTCGATACTTGTTTGGAATCCAGACGTATTGGATATAGGGATCGATCGGCCCGAAATTAGACCTTTTCGGACAATTCAAAGAGGAGAGGAAAAGAGCATTTTTCTGTATATATATATATCGTTTTATTCCTTTCATTATTATATTTTTAGTGGTATAAGTATACCATATGACGATCCGGTATTAAAAGATGGATGAGAAAAACTCAAAGATTTTTTCCTATATTATTTTTTTAATCTAGCGAGACAATATGTTTTTAATTTTCTATAAAATGTTTTTTATATATATATATATATATATATATATAATATATATATACGCTTTACGAAAATTTATTTATAAATAAGCATGAGTTTATCTCAATATTTTATTGTGTCGATTGGTATTTGATTCTTAAATTATTCTTAAATGATAGAATGTAATAAAAGGAAATTGATTTTAATATATACATATATTTATGTGCGTGTGTGTGTATAAAAAATAAAAATTAGGAAAAATTGATTTCAACGCAAAAGTTCTAATAATTCATTGCTAAATACTGATGACCATTTTGACATTACTTGCTACATTAATAGAATGATATTTGGCAAACTTTCAATTGTCAAATATCGCGATTAAGGTAAACGTCCCAGTGGTTGAACGATTAAGGTTACAAATTCATTTATTAATGTTTTTATTATATAAAAGCAAGAAATTTTCTTAAGGATTTGCATTTATCTTGTAAACTGATATATTTATCGTTTAAAAAGCATACAGACAATTGTTTTTATTAATTTTATTATATAAAATATAATAAAATATGAAGCTGTGTAAAAGTACTAGTGTTTAAACGATAAAAACGCGTTTGTTCTAATGGTTGAACGAAGCTGTCCCAATATTTGAACATAGCAAAGTTATAATTATAGAAATAATTTGTCTATACAGAAGTTTTTTTCTTGTTCTTTCTTTCGGCATTATCTTCGACATTATCTAAAATATAACAAGAAATGAAAAATAAAACGAATGTTCACATACAATTTTTGATTAACAAAGGTTATCTGTCGTAATATTTTCCTCGTTCATTATGACATAAATATATATTAATTTTTTTTTAATTCTTTAAATATTATTACTAAATTAATTGTAGATTTTTTAAAAATATTAAAATACTTACATTTTTAATGAAATTGAAACGAAAAAATTACGATTCAAACGAAAAAAAAAAAAAACGATAAATAAACAAACGGTCGATAACTAGGCAATATTGAATTTTCGAGTACCAGTAAATAAACACTAAATTTATCATATTTAAATGAATTTGTTTAATAAAATAAAAATTTCAATTTAATAGTAACTTCTTTTACGAATCGAAATAACTTTTACTTGTTATAATAGCGTTTATATAAAAAATACACACATTTAAGTACTAAATGACGTTTCTTAACTAGATAGTTAAGAAGCTATTGAAAGAATGAATAATAAAAGTAAGCCGTCATTTGAAAAATAATTTTTTTCCTCAATCCGTTTCTTTCTAATAAATATTAAGAAACGAAATTAATTTTAAATTTTAACATAATATTTGTAACTGTGTGTATTAGGAAAAACTTAATAATTATAAATATATATTACATCGTTCATACATTAGGACGCGTTCAACCACTGGGACATTAACCTTAATGTGTATCACAATTATCACTTGATATTTAAATAACAAAAATCTATCAACGATCAAATAAGCGCCAACTTAATAGACTTTTCATTAAAATAGCCTCGCTTTTGACATACCTACTGTTATCTCTGACACAATAGAATTACAGCGAGATCGTGCGTTATCCTAATCACACGTACATTATTTTCGCGCACTTGCGTCTCCACCCTCCAGAGGACGTTGTTTGGAAAGAGTTTTCGCGCGGCGATCGGAGAGAGTGTCGAAACAAAGCTCACCACAAATCAGTGTCGCGAGCAGACTTCAGTCGTCGGTCCCTAAATCTCATCCGCGCACCCTCAAGACGAGTCGCGCATCGTGCGTGCAGGGGTGGGAAGGGGAAAAGCGGGTGGGCGTCAGCTGGGCCGCCACTTACCTTCACCCCAATATTAAGCCCTTACGATTGGTGCCTGTAATATTAGACAAGCGGCAGGATTCAATGATGTATTGCGCCGATCCGAATGATTTGTCGCGAATTCGTTGCGAGTTAATGCGATCGAGGAAGACGTTCCTAACAATATCATTCTGTATATTTGACGCATCACGGGGTGGAAAAATTGTCTGAAAAATTTAATTCGTACACGCGGGCGTTTGTTTACCAACATTATTCCAATTTTATATCTTGGCCGTGTCCAAGTAAAATTTGGTGCCTTCTGCACAGGTATTTAATTCTAACGAAAAAATTTAATTTCGTTTAGAATAACGCACTGTCATCCGCGATTTGGCTCTTATTGCCTGTCTTATATATGTTAAAAATTTATATTAATAATTTAATTTCAATTATCTTAGAAATGAAAGAGTATAGGGAGAATGAATCTTGATGAAACGTAATTATAGATTTTCGCAGAGCATATTAAAATTGGGATAATTGTGAAGTCGATATATCGCGATAACAACTGTTAATTTTATTCCTGAATAGTACATTACAACTCTCTTCTTTTTAATAAAAATAGTAATTAGCTCTATTAAACTTAATGTTTGTGAACAAAGAAGGGCTGTAAGAGCTATATTAAACAAATTGCAGTTGTCAGATAATCTTAATAAAATTCATTTAAAACGAGAAAATAAATACATAAGCAATAAACATTTATGTGTAGATGATATTAATAAAATGTATTTAAAAAAAAGAAAATAAATATATAAGAAATAAAACAATTATGCGAACGTTTCGGCTGACATTTCTTTTTAGTTCGTAACAAAGAATCGATTATTTCCTGCCGCCTCGAGAAGAAATGGCCGTGTGGTCCGGAAGTTACAAAATACCCGTCCCGTCATTCACACAGGAACGCCTAAAAATTCGCGCGAGCCACCAATCTTCGAGCGTCCTCATTGTCACTCTTTCCTCCGCGGTTCTCTCGAACCCTTCGCTGTATCGTGATTGACACGAGTCGATAAAGACCGTGGCGTGGTAGATGTACTAGATGTATAAACTGTTCACAAATCGTCGGTAGGGAGGTAGGGAACGACGGAGCCAGCAGAGCGAAAGAAGAGGGAAGTGAATGTTGCGTTTAACATCGGCGAATCGCACGCATCTGCCGGCAGAAGGATATGCGCGAGATGGTGGAGAGGGAGGGGGGGCCCGGAGAGGGTGGAAAAGGGATATCGCGCGGAGGGAAGGAACGTGAAGGGGTGGCAATGGGGAAATTTCGTGCGTTCGAGATACGCGGCGGCGGTGGTGGGGAGAAGTTTCGTGCGTTTGTCGGATAGCGGATGCATTGACCGTGCCACGTGCGTGTGTTATATCCGGGAGACCGCACCTCTCTCACCCCCTCCCTCCCTCCCTCCCTTCTCCCCCATCGTCGACCTCTCACCGCGAATAGACCGACCCTCCAGTATCCATATATATATATATATATATAGCCACGTCCTCCCACTGTCCTCCTCTCCTCTTCCTCCCCCCCTCCTCCCCCCTTGTTTTCTCTTCGCATATACATCCTCGTCCCTGCCCCCCCTTTCCCCGTTGGTAACCACCCCTCCTCCCCCGCGGGCTTGTACGTCATGTCGAAATGTTGTGAAATATAATTGCGCGAAAAAGTGATTGGCAACAAACTCGAAATTCATCGACGAGAGACGCGAGGGCCGCTCGCGGCGAAACCGGAATTTGGGTAAGGGGGTGAGAAGTGGGCGGGTAGAGGGATGATCTAGCGCGGGCGGGGAGGAGGAGGACTCGCGGTGTCTGACGGGCGAGCGACGTTGAATTTCGAATAGCATTTTCACCAATCGTCCCGCGATTTATCCCCCTTTCACCCCCACCGTCCACCCCCGTTCTACCCCTCCCGCCCCTTGCTCTCGCGAGCCGCCACTCGCGGCTCGTGTTTTTTGTTGCGTATTGCAACGATTATTGATATTTTTCGATAACGGGCTGTGTGTCGAGCACGACGGACCTCGTTTTAATACGCGTATCTCCCGTGCAAAAAAAAAAGTATCATTTCAAATCTCAGCAAGGATCGTGCTCGTTAAACAAGCACCCGGGCAATGAGAAATGACGGGTCGAAGAAAGGAAAAATCAACCGTAGACGATTACAATCTAAAATATCAAACGTGAAGAGTAGCAAATGTAAACTGATCGAGTGATGTTTAATGAAAATCGACAGTGTTGACGTAAAATTATATAATTTTACGTCAACACTGTCGATTTTTATGTTCCTAATATTAGTCTTGTTCCTTTAATATTTAAGACAAATAAATACAATTATATATATATATATATATCTATATGTATATAATTTTAATTACTATTAAAATTAAATCAATTTAATTAAATTATTTTTTTTAATCAAATAAATTTTAATTTGCTAGTTTCTGGTCAGGAACTGATCAAGAAATACTGGTCATTATTTTCTATTTTTGATGGACAAGAAACTGCATAATATTTACCTATCATTTTTCATATCTAATTTCTGATAAAAAAAAACTAGCCAAGAAACCATGCCCCGTATTTTCCTAATTTTTACTAAACAAAAACGTCCAAAAATTTACCGATTATTTTTTATGTCGAGTTTCTGACTGAGAACTATAGCCAAAAAACTATGCTCAGGATTTTCAGAGTTTTTGCTAAACGCGAATTGCCCAATATTTACCTATCATTTTTTAATGTCTAGTTTGTGGTCCAGTAACTGCTCATGAAACAATAGTCAGTATTTTTTAGTCAATTTTTGAACAGTTACTACTGTCTAACTAATCCTAGCAAATAGAAACTAATCGATTTCTGAATAGTGAAAAGTTGTTCCCAAACATTTTTCTACTCCGGGTATCGACTAGGACCGCCGAGATTATCAATTTTCACTAAATGCATAAATCAGATGACGTTTGTAAGAGATAGGAAAAAAGGAGGGCTAAATATTTATTAATAAATTGATAAAAAATTATAACGTTCTTATATGTTAAAATAAAATTGTAAAATTAATGTAAGAACAGGCCAAGAGCATAAATTATTAGGACGTTAGTGAATATTATACATGTTTATTACTTCCCCTGTTTATTACTTGGCCTGTTCTTACATTAATTTTACAATTTTATTTAAATATTTATCATCTGTAAATGTAACACACAGATACAAAGATACATAAATTCTAAAATGTTGTTTTAAATCAAATTATAAACGTCACACACTATATAATAGGCACGTTTCACATATTAAATGCAAGATAATTGTATATGAGAGTTCGAGTCCCACGAAAAAAAATAAACAATTCTTTCTCTATTATCATACCACGTCACCTTAATTCCGCGTTGTTCTTCACGGTCGATCGATCATCCGGAGGATCCGAGAAAACGTTTCGGATCCTCGTGAAAGATCGATTCGCCAAACCCATCCTAAGACAAACACACACTGCTGTTCACGGAAGAGAAAGCCCCGTATATGTGTATTCCATAAACGAGCAGCCCTTATTCTCGCAGGCGGAGACCTGTAGCGCGGTATCTAGTTAATAATGCATCCGTGATCGTAATCCAAAAGAATAACCAGCGATATATGTTGTAACCCCGTAACCTGAGGCCCCCGAGAGGGGGCCGCTTAAATTCGGGGTACGAAAAAAAAAAAAAAAAAGAGGGGAAGGCCCACAACTGTAACAACACGTCCCGAAGTTTTCTCCCGAGACCGCAGACAGGAGATTTAATCTCACGTGATGCGAGAGAGGGAGCTAGAGCAAGAAAGAGAGAGAAAAGGAGGGGGCTGAAAGAGGGCGATTTTAAGGGACTGACTGTGTCGAGGTAGGTGGGGCGGCTTAAAAAACTATTCCCATTCAGTGTTTCCGTTGGATGCTAAGCTCGGTTATTAGGCCTCTACGGCTAAGCAGCGCGCCTCTCTCATTGGCCGGCTACGAAAACAACGATAAAAGGCGATGAGTATTTTATGGGGTACGGCGCGTACAGGCAACACAATGGGACGGCGTGTATGGGCCATTGTCAGGGCATTGTCTGCGTCGCGAACGCAAGGCGAGTCTCTTCTCTCTCTTTTTCTCTTTTATCCTCTACCTATATCTATCTCTTCTCCTATCTCCTTCTGTCTCGAATGCAAGCCTCGAACCTCCATTATTTCATTATTTTTAAACACGTCACTTTTTTTACCATTCTCTCTCTCTCTCTCTCTCTCTCTCTTTCTTTCTGGCGTGGCAGAGCGACGCTGCGAAAAAAAAATAAAAAATAAAAAACATGTTGGAAATCGCACAATTGGGGCGACTAGGCCCTCTTAGGCATTATTAATGTGGATACGTGGACGAGTTCACCCTCGACGGAGGGTGAACTGAAGAGTCGGCCGAGATTTCTTTCATGTTTGCTTCTCGAAATGGTGGGTACGCGTCAGGGCACGTAGTTAACTTTCGTGTTGTCGGTAAATCTTTCTATACGGAGTGGTGACAAGGGATACACGAGCGTATCGCGAGTGGGATTTCTTAACGTTATTCCGTCGGAATAATTTACCGAGTTATTATTATAATTATATATAGTAATACATGATAAAATCAAATCACGACGAAATATTAATAAAAAGATTTATTAAATCAATATATCATAACAATATATAATAACAGTGTAAGAATTTAAAAAAGTATACACGTGTAAAATAAATTTAGAACCTTCATATTCTTTTTAACAACAGAAACGGGATTCTGCCATTTTATTTGAAATATATACATATATTTTATGTCAAAACTGTGTACGATAATAATAACGCGCGCATAAACAAATGATATATCAATACGTTTGCGTTGTATTTTATATCACTCTTGAGAGCAAAGACACTCCGAGGAAGTCGATCGCGTGAATGTTTGGCTATTTACCCCCGACCAGAGGTGTTGAAGCGTGCGCTTCGTAAGAGATCGTGCTCCGCCTGGAGCATTTAAGGAGGGTTTTAGTCACGGGGGTGTCGGCTCGAATTATGCAACACGAAGGAATGGAACGGCGACTTGGGTATTCGCACGTAAATCCGCCACCCCGGGCACATTTTACCGTGAAATATAATTGGGGCGCGTTACATGTTTAATCACCGAGCGGTTTACATCTCTATATATCCGACAGTCTTTAAATTTTCATAAAACAGCGCCTGATCCTCGAATTAGTATGAATATTTGACAAATTATTTATTAATAAAGTCATACACTATACGCAAGATCATTAGTTAGATTATCTCCTGATATTAGAGAAATGTATATATTATTTTTGTAATATTTTATACATTATTTTTTAATTTCACAACACATATAAATCGAATACAAATTAAAACATTTTGTAGAAATTACAATTATACGTCAATGCAAAAATACGAATAAAATAATAAGAAAGATTCTCTAGTTGGATCTTATTGTACGTAATTTGAAAAAAAATTTTTGTCTGTGTAGATAATTTTCAAGGACTTCCGCCAGAAGCGATACCCGCCTTTTTGCAGAATCTACAAAATTCGGCGGGTTACAATATCGCCAAGCCGATCGCGAGGCCAGCGGCTTATCACCCTTATCACAGGCCGAGTCATCAACCCCCTCAACGACACTTACCACCGAACGCTCATCACACGCTGCAACAACTGTTCTACAGAGGCCCATATCTGACAGGTAAAAATTACGTGGCAAATTAATACACAGGTTTAACTTAAGCATTAATCAACTGTAATCACATCAATTATAATTGTAAATGAAAATTTGCTCGAAGCTAAACTTTAAAATTTATTCTCTCTTAATCCCTCAAATTTACTCAGATCTTTTTTAAATGGATTTTTTTCAACTCGAATATTTTTAACATATAAAATATTTCGCGTTCCAAGTCTCGTAGTTATTTCATACTTTGGATGATGCAGAAATCATGCACGGGGCTTCCCCCGACGAACGTTTAAAAGCGAAACTTCGGCATCTGGCGCCATATACAGCGAACGCGCGCGTATAAACGCCGCGTTCGCGCGGCCACGTGCGCGGGCGGCGCGCATACGCCGGGTTTATCGAATATCTTGTTATAGGTAGGCTCGTATGGGACATGGAGTGCATATGAAGTGCAGTGAAAGCACTACCATATTATGTACATGCTCCGCCACAAGGCAAAATGCACGCATGCAACAAGTGCGTGCAAATATCATCGGTGCAGATAATACCGTCATGCTCAGCTTGGCAATATCGCGCAGACACGATCTGGAGATTCAATTGCCCGTCCGTTATTAGATGACTTTGATACAGCTGCTTATCAAGCGATTCGCGCGCGAATAAACAACAATATGTGTTTCAACAATTTCTTTTTCCGCGCCCGCGCTGCCCTCTTTCACTCGCTCTTACGTTATGATTTTTTATTGTAGAATATACTTTCATTTCTTTCTCAACATTTACATGGATAGAATTTAGAGATTATTTATGATTATACAATTTTTTTTTTGATGTATCGTATAGATTTTTTTACATACTATTAATTTTTTTTCCGAACGAACGAATTAATGCGCAACGTCGAAATAACGCGAATTTATTATAAACAAATGTGTTGTGTGCTTTCTGTTGACAGTTGCTGGTTCCGGGAGCGGAACTCATCATCCTGGCACACCCGGCGGAGGTGCCGTGTTTCCGGGCGCTATCCAGGGTACTATCGGTGATTTTTCCGGGACCGGTTTGGTTTTTCCATGGGCGACGAACGCGCGCGGAAAACCTCGTCGAGGGATGATGAGGAGGGCCGTCTTCTCGGATCTTCAGCGTCGCGGACTCGAGAAGAGGTTCCAGATACAAAAGTACATCAGCAAGCCGGATCGCAAGAAGCTTGCCGAGAAACTGGGTCTCAAAGACTCGCAAGTAAGTCAATTGATTTTTGCATATATTAAACGAGAAATTAAGACATTTTTTCATATCTCGAATATCCAAGGAGGACGGAATATTTTAAATATTCGTCGAATGTTTTAAAAATAATTTGCGTGTTTGAGTATTCTCGACACGAAATATATTATTGTCTCGATGTTTGAGTACCGACGATTCGATCTGATCGATAATTGTGCATACATATATATACATATATTTATATATATATATATATTATGATTATGTATACATATTATCGCAATTTTCGACAAACTTATAAGCAGCGAGTTTAGCTTCTTCCCTCACGTTGAAGCAGTTTTCCGAGCGCGCAAATCAATTGCATATCAATTATAGCGCGCATCGAAGCGCATAATTCGATTCCTTGTGATCCAGAATCCTCGCTCTCGATAATCGCATCAGGCATGTCATATGCAGGCAGATTTGCATACGCGATGATAGGCGGATGTGCTCGCGTTGTATTACAATCGAGAGGCTGCGCCGTGAGCATTAGAGACGGCGCATGGTGTTTAATCTCGTGCTTAATGATCTCCTAGGCGCAATAGCAGTTGAACTTCATACACGGTGCAACGGTGCTAATTTAAACCGTAATAAAAATCCGTGCAAAAAAATAGAGAACGATTTGAATGATTTATTGAAGAGATGGCTTAAGGAAGATTATATTTCAAAAAACGAATATTATAAATTACGTTGTAGTGATTCTCTCCTTCCAAAAGCGTATGGATTACCTAAAATCCATAAGGAAAACTATCCAGTTAGAATCATAGTTTCATCGGTTGATACAGCTCTATACTCGCTGGCTTCGTTTTTACAAAACACCTTACGAACTAGCCTACCCAAAGCGAAAAGTCATATTAATAATAGTTTTGATTTGTACAGCATATTGTCTGGTAAAAAGATTGATGAGAATGATAGGATGTTTTCCTTGGATGTGGTGTCTTTGTTTACGAACGTTCCTCTGGATCTTGCGATTGACGGTATTAACGATAGATGGGATCACATTGGAATAAATACTAAAATACCGAAAAACGAATTTTTGGGGGGTATAAAATTCATATTGACTTCTACATATTTTACATTTGATGACATAATTTATAAACAGACGTTTGGGACCCCTATGGGGTCACCGTTATCACCAATTATTGCAGACCTGGTTATGCAAGATCTTGAGGATACAGTTCTCAAAGCGTTGAATTTGGAATGTTTGTTTTATTTTCGTTATGTGGATGACATCATAGTGGCCACCTCTATGACTAATATGACTCAGATTGTGAATAATTTTAACAACTATCATGAAAGACTTAAATTCACGGTCGAACAAGAGGTTAACCATAGCTTGAATTTCTTAGATTTATCACTTAAAATTATTAATAACAAAATATATATAGACTGGTATCAAAAAGAAACCTTCTCAGGAAGGACGTTATCATTTTATTCAAACCACCCATTATGCCACAAAATTGGAATAATATATAACCTTGTAGACAGATGTCTATTGCTATCACATCCACTATTTTTTAATAAAAATTTGGAGTTAATTATTAATATACTCAGAAGCAATGGTTACCCTCTTGATCTGATTTTTAACAAAATTAATCATCGGATAGAACACATCATATCTAAGGGGAGCATTATAGAGAGACAGGCCAACATAGAAAGAACAAAAAGTATAAGAAATGACTCGGTCAATAAAAAATTCTTTGTCATTCCGTATATAGATGGGATCTCAGAAATGATTGTTTCCTCGGTAAAAAATAAAAATTGTATGGTAGGGTATAGATGTCTCAACAAACTGGATAATATTATTAAAGCGCAGAAAGATAAAACTAAACATCCATGCAATTCGAATGTGGTTTATAAGATCAGTTGCAATAATTGTAATGCATCTTATGTAGGCCAAACAAAGAGGCAATTGCAGACGCGAATAAAAGAACATAAAAATAATATTAGGTTGGACTCAACGAAACATTCAGTAATTTCTGAACACATAATAAATGAACATCATACTTTTAATTGGGACAATGTTAAGATCATGGACAACGAAAATAATTATTATAAAAGACTCATTTCTGAGATGCTACATATCAAGGAACAAAAAAATGGACTAAATTTAAACAAAGATACTGAGTTACTTATAGCGTTTTCGATTGGGGTGCACTGGCTGCACTGAATGTCAGGCGCGTGTTCGATTGGTAGTGCCAATGCGCACTTGGCTAGTGTTGCGTGTTCGTTTGAACGCACAACACTCGCATAGTGCGCACTCAGTGCGCACTAAGTGGCACGAGATATTTTGACGGTGCCAGTTCAGTGCACTGGATGCATGCAAGCAGTAGGGCATTCTTTTGAACGAAAATTCGACATAATGAGCAATTCGAATTTGGCTCTCTTTAATATTTTGGAGACATTTTTGGAATCTTCTTCTAGTTCAAGCGAGCAAGAAGAAATAATTACAACTCTTCGAACTAGAAGAATAATTCCAAAAACTGTAAATTATGTAGAATGTGTGAAAAAAATGGATAATGACACCGTAAGTGTTATATCTTTTTATATAAACATCGAACCTATACCCTTTTTTAAAATATAATTAATGTACTTAATGTAATAGCATTTTTATACTGAATAATAATAATTTTTATATTTGTCATAGTTTTGTAGGCACTTCAAAATGTGTCCAGAAACATGTGAGCAATTAATAGATGGTTTTCAGCAATCAGATTTCTTTCCAAAAAATGAAATGCATACAATTATTGATAAATACGTGATATTCTTGATCATCTTCTATATTTAATTACATATAATAAAAATCATTACTTAACTGAACACAAGATGTCGAGATTACTTTTTCGTTCTTCCCGGAATCTAATCAACTCAAGTGGCACTGAAAATTTCGGCGTGTTCTTTTTCATCTGCACTATTCAGTGCAACCCATGGAACTTGTCCAGTGTTCGTGTGAACTGAGTGCGCACTGGTGCGCACTAACTTTTTCCCAATCGAAAACGCTATTAGCGAGTCGTATTTTGATATTTTGGATATATTAGCGAACAAGAAATAATAATAGGACAAATAGGACATTAACGAGTAAAACATAGATATTAGATCATATATAAACACGCACGCTCTCCGATCAAGTAGAGTTTAAAATGAGATGTCTTTCTGTATTGTTGGTTTGTTATGTGTCATCCTTAATAACTGTTAATAAGTAGCAAAATTGTCAAGAAGAACGATGATAGGTAAGCATACTACCAATTGTAGGGGATACATATTATAATTTGGACATACGTTGATCGGTAATTTTTTATTAATCGCAGCGCCTTCGGAACGGGTTAATTTCTCGCATATTAACGATGAAACTATCCGAGATCTAAACAAAATCAGGGATCATATCGAGGCGAACATTGTTGGACAGGACGGATTGAAACACGCGTTAATTGCTCAAAAACTCTTGATTCTGAATAACTATAATTAAATTTCGATATTATGTGAATTGTAAGAATTTATATTTCAATAATTATATTGAAGAAGACCGCGTGCGGTCGAAACGTTTATAGAATGATTGTAATTTGCGTTAGTTTTAATATAATGACTGTAGTTTTATAATTTATACATGTAATAAATGGTAGTTGACTGAACATCTCGAATATTCAGCTCGATAAGTTGGCCTTATATTTATCACTTTGTTTTCAATATACGAGCGACAATTGTATTAATTTATTTTTAAACCGTAATTATAAACTGCGAAATTTCCTAACGAAACTTTGATCCAAAAATTTTTTTAAATTTTGTCGCGCTGTCGATAAATTGTCGCATTTTTATAAGTCTTTTTCGCGTTCAAATTTTTATGATTTATTTCAAACTCGATTATATAAATTTTGAATTATTTGTACAAAATTTCGATCGAGTATACCGGAATGAAATTTTTTTTTTTGCGGCTACTATAATTTGTTCATTTACGTCATAAATTTAGCAAGGGCATCACAGCCCTTTCCTCGTCATTAAACTCCTGGCGATGAGTTTTAAATTTGATTATATGGATTCCTGAGGAATTGGGTCGACGAGAAAGAGTTTATTAGAGGCAGTAAATAAGTGATTTTCAGTCATTTTGAATCTCACAAGAGGGATAATCGCTCGGTTTTCTCGATAACGGGCCACCGTAATCGAGCAGTTAGGCGCGTGCAAGATCGGGAAGGTACACGGAGAATATATATTGTGCTTAATGACCTTATTAGGGCACTAATTGTCGCTCTAACGAAGTACGAATCCCTCGTACTTGGCGATGAGTGAATTTAGTTCCGCTATGAAGAGACTCTCTCTCTCTCTCTCTCTCTTTTGCGGCTTCATTTGGCAGATTGATAGAGACTAATGCTCGGTTTTGTCGAATACGAAACCGTCTGCCGCGCGCGTATGAGCGAACGAAGGTACATGTGTGTTTAATGTGCCGGGTTCATATAATTGCGCGATGAAGTGCATAATATTGATTTCAAGAACGATCGAGCAATCCTAGCTCATTAAATTGCAGTTAATAATACGCGCTTATTTGTAATTAGCTTTGCGTAATTTAAGTCAATAAAAAAATGCGCTCCTTGAATTGTCAGATGTAAAATATTTGATTTACTTACGAGACTTTTGTGAAATATTAAATACACAAATATGTAAATGTTTCATCCTTTACATTACATGTGCAATTTAACCTTAGGCAGAGTTATCAGTGTTGTAAAAAATTATTGTACTGGGACGTTAAGTATAATATATATATATTACATATCGGTTGCCACTAAAATATGATAATTATAATTACGATTTAGATAGAAAAGCAAATGTTTATTAAAATATTCTATGAATTTATGTGGAAAAATGTCAGCGCGTTCCATCACAGTTTCCCGAAATTTCAATTATATCCTCCGAGAGTTTGCTCCGGAACATTAATAAACGCTTCGTTCGCTCATTAATTCATTCAAATAGGGATTTCGATTCGCGAACAA